TATTTGAGGACACACTACATGCCAGGGAGTTTTTAAAGTGTGCCAAAGACAGAAAGGTCATCAATGACTCTCTAAAGAACCCAACTGATGATGATTCTAAAATAAATAAGATCATTTTACTTAACTTAAAAGAAAAAAAGAACATTAAGTAGCTATCCCAAGTGTTCTTTACTTAAGTTCTAAAATTTTATATTAACTAATAACAAAATGTGTATGGCTGCCCAATGTAAGCATACATTTCCATGTCTTTAAGACACAGGATATATTTTTAGGCTATGCCATAATTATTTTAAAAGTATCTTGTTGAATCTGAAAATTAGGGTTTCCTTTTCGTTTTGTTTTTGATACAGATCTAAATTTGAACTCATGATAAACAGTAATGGTTATGGCTTTGCAATTAAATAATATACAGGTTTTAAAAGTTAGTAAGGAGTTGTATAGTGCATATTAGCTAACTGCAGTGATTCAGAAGAGGTCATTAACACTCACTGTGTTTTTGTCTCAAAGCATCTGCTCTCTTCCCATCCCTACTTCTTAATACTCTCATTGAATAAAAACAAATTCACACACTTTGAAAACTAAGTTTAAAGCAAGTTTAAACTAAGTTTAAATGTTATGACAGAATTGAAAAAACGTGTTAGAAGAACCTGCATAAGAAATTTATACTTGTAGCCAACTTGCTTAGGAAATAGTAAACTGAATGGCAAAACTGGCAAATGATTAAGATTTTTGAGTGACTCCAGTAAATAGATCCTCTGGCCTTAAATCAAGAATCTTTTCTGACCAATGAACAGCAGGACATGTGGGGATTTAAAATTCATCGTCCTCTCAGTGGTGCAAACTTCAATCCTTAATTGGCATAGCTTCCTTGTAGCACATAAAACATAAATTGTTCCTGTCACAAAACCATTTGGTAAAGTTGCTTACTTTTGTGCTTCCTTATCTGGCAAGTAAGCAAATTTATTTGCATTTTCAATCCTGTGGTGGTTTGTCTTTCTTTCAACAAATTTAAAGTGAAAGTTACAACTGTTTTCTGTTGCTTTTATACATTTATTTTTCAAAAAGTTTGCTTGCTACAAGTTGCTCTTTTCCACCACCCTTATACTTTTTAGTTTATAATCAAACAATATCAAACAATAAAAAAAGATAATTATGGGAAAACCAAAAATCCCTTATTCCTAATAAGGGATTGCAAAAAAAATAAGCCAAATAAGCAATTTCTAGAAGTTATAAGTAATATTTTCACATAGAAAGGAATAATAATAACACTAAATTATACTGGAAAACTTTTATTTTGGTATAAGTTATAATTAGTGACATCACAATGTTAAATCTCTTTATCAAATTAGAAAACATTTAAATAGCAGCACTCAAAGTCCTAATCACTTTCCTTTAGTTGTTTCCTAGCTATAAACCCACATCTATTGACATCTGAAATGTATTTGCTTGACTGTCACACATGTGTGCTGTACTCTTGAATTGTTATCTTCTGTTGTGTTTCCTGACAATCCTCAAAACTTTTGGCTTAACCAACTAAAGTAAATCATACTCACTTCTAGTAATAAATTTACCATGTCACATAGTAACATGGTAGCTAGTTACATACAAACAAATTTGCTATTAGAATTCTAATACAGCTTTGTATTTCCTAAAAAGCTCTTTCATAGCACCTGACATAATTCCTGTAAGATTACCTTGGTGGTCATGAATCTTTAGTCACCATATGAGATTTTATTACAATATAGTATGACATGCAGTGGATTTTTCTAGTCTCAAAACTCTGTTGGTGCTGTTCTACCTGAATTCCATGCATAAATATATAAAATATGTGTGTATTTACAAGTCTGAAATTCAAAAGATCAATGGCTTATTAAATAGATCACTCAGCACTGAATTAACAAATGGCATGTACCCAGCAAACTCTCATAAATGATTATATTTGATGACAGAAATATAAACAGAATAATAATAAATGCAGTTTTTTTTTTTTTTGCTGATAAAATGTTAGTAATCCAAGACACATGCAAAGCATTTGAACACATAAATGGATAATAAATAATGTGGCAATTTTTAGGCTTCATGCATATACTATACTGTTTTCCTTACTGATAAAAATTACCATTACACAAACTCTAATTTTGGCTCACTTTGTTTTAAAATAGCATTAAACATTCGTATGTGTAATTAAGAATTATATATCTGAGCAAAGAAAAGGGAGCTAATATGAAAATAGATTCAAAATATTCTTTATAAGTTTACAATTTGACACAAGGGATAAATAGTGAGTTTTGTATTTTGATAGATGTGGAATCCAATCCTGACTTAGTTATTTAAGTGGTTGATGATCTTGATAAAGCAGCTAACATCTCTTAACCTTCAAAATAAAGATGATCTAACTTACTGTGAGGATTAAATAACCAAAGGACATAAAGTTGTAGGTTACCATGACTATTATACTGAGAGCAATTGATGAATTGAGCTCCTTTAGCTATTTTCTCTTTCTTTATAAAATTCCAAGTTTGGGGGCTTAAGCATCTTTATTTCCTGGAAATAATTTACTAAACTATTCATTCTCTATTTACACTTGAAGGAATTTTATTTTCTGGCCAAGTGAATGCAGTTAACCAAGCTTATGCAACAGCCTATTGAGGTGACCATAAAAACAAAACAAAATAAACCTTGACGAGAAGCAAAGGAGGTCAGAGATGTAGTGGCGACATGTTTCACAACCCATTATCAACTCATTGCTTAGTTACTCACAAAGATCCATATTTTTTAGAGTTGAAAAAAAAAATGTGTAGTAATCCTTACTTTACTGAGGAAACCAACACTTAGGAGCAAAATAACAGGGTGGTCCCCAGGAGAAGGGCAAGTTCCAGATTCTCTGCCCCACCCAGAAGGAGGGTGGAGCTGAGCAAAGAAGAGAAGGAATTTGAAGAAGGAAGCAGGATGGAAAGCCAAAAGTAGACTTGAGGAAGCCACAGGGAGCAGAGAGAGAGACATGTGAAGCAGAGAGAGACATGTGAAGAAACCGTGCTTGTTTTTTTGGCCCTGGACTGGCTGAGATGTGGGTGAGAGACCTGTGGAGAGGTTGACTATGGCAGCATTTAGATTGATTTTGATTTTACTCTTTTCCTCCCAGACTTGTCTGGCCATTTCCAACCCTTTTCTATGGGTCCTGGCCAGAAGGTGCTTCAGTCTTGTGACAGACTTTCAGGCCTTGCTTTGGGCCAATCCCTTTTGGGTAGACTTTTATCCACGAGGGGATGGATAACTTCAGGTGTCTGATTTAGAAATTATATTCTTTGTCTTTTCTATATTGTATACTTATTGTATGAAAGTTCCTTTTCATTAAAGCTCTTATGTCTTCTCTTGATGTGGCAGATGGCAGAATCTATTTAGAGCAGGCAGGTTTGGGGGCTTCGAGGTGCCCCTCTCTCCCTCCCCTGTAACAATTCCACAGCTGATTGGAGCTAGATCTGGGAAACAAGCTAAGCTTTCCTGACATTTGACTCTTCCTAAGTCATGCTTCTCCTTAACTGCTAAGATGAAGGTGATATCAACTAGGAAATGAATCTTCAAATCCTTAATCAGCTAACTGCCAGCACACAAGTTTTCTGAAGGATACATACCAGAAAATGCTCATAGGAAATGCTCACACTTTCTATTTTCTGTTAGAGCTTACTTTCTATTCTCTCATTCCCATCTTCTTTCTTGCCTGAGAGTTCAAAGTTGGATCTTATGGGAAGCTCAAGGGGTTTTATTCTTCCTTTGGCCAAATGTCTGAATGAGAAACAAGTCCAGGGATCTAGTCTATGTTTACTTTCCCTGGGTACTCTTGGCTCACACTTCACCTTCTAAGGCAAACAAAATAGGAGGCACAACCATGCTTATTTATTGTACCAGCCTCTACAGACAAAACCACCATAATAATGGCAACCATTAAGAGCAATAGTCACAATACCCTTATATGTGACTACTGCACATCTATGTCATGACTTTACTGACAATGCAACAGAAATATGCTGGGTGATTACCTTCTTTAATTTCCATATAAACCAGAGGGTAGGATTACTATTTTTATTTTCTGTTTTAAAGATGAGAAAACTAAACTCAAGTGACATGACTAAAGTTTGTAAAACTCAGTGTAAATTTGAGTTTCAATTTCAGATTCAATCCACTTAACAGTTAGAACTATTTGTTTGGTAGAAAGCAAAGACTCCTTGCTTCAATTAAAGGTTTGGTATAGCAAATTCCCTCCAATTACTAAAAATTATACCTTCCACTATGCCAGCCTGAATTTGAATCATTAAATACATCAGTTTTCTCACAAACACATCAAATCTCTTTGTAGAAGAGTATATGTTAGGCAAGAAAAAGAACTGAATTCCTCTTAAAGATTTCAGTTCTTCGCTTATAGAGGAAAATTCAATTATTTTTTATTTCTCTCTACCTATAAACTGCTCTTCTGAAAGCTCCAGGAGCAGCTCCTATTAAAAAATTACGATTTTCTTTTTTATAAATCATACAGCAGGAAATAATTTTTCTAATGTTTCTTTTAAAATGAGTGTGGGAAGAAACATGAGAAAGAAATATGTGAACAAATACCCTTTTCTACATATGTGTGGTGTGTGAATGAATATTAATATTTATCTGTATTCGTTTTACTAAAGCGCGTGTCATTCGATTCCCTAAAATCAATACTCCGTAATTCCATTAGCCATATATTAGTGCCAGATAATATGCTGGGCTGAGTGAGTTTTACGTGGATTAAGATGGTCCTGCCTTCCAGAAGCTCTCAGTAAAGGAGAGACTTCCTTACAGCCTTACTAGCACTCATAAATGCCCAATTTAACAAGCAATCAGCTTTCATATATAATTATGATGTCTATTCTTAGTTGTAGATAATGAGTTACCTTGAGGACATTGATATTAAATATATGAAATGAAACAATTTATAACATGCACATAACTATCTTCCTCATCATGGCTTATCTTACCTTGATCTTTTGATGGTACTGATAAAGAATTCTGCATTTTGTTGTATTTGACTTGAATAGAAACTTTCCTAGAAATAACCAAGCACAAATAATAATTAGAAAATAACTGCAATGCCATGTTAATAAATACTTAAAACACAAGCTTTTAAAAAAGTCTTTCCATTTATAACCATACAGATATTAAGACATGGACTGAACGATTAAGAAATTGATGTTTTCATTTCCTTTTCATTCCTGTACAGACTGAAGTTTACTGCATATGCTGTTGTGGGCTTGAAGAGAAAGTGCTGACTCATTGAGAGATGGATCTTATTTGCTCTCATAGAATCAAGGAAATGTGCAATAAAGCAAAGCTTCTTTAAAAATGCCCTGTCTGAAAACTGTTTTATGTATTTTAAGAATAACTAAAATGCTGAACAATATATGAAAAGGTAATATAGTTACAATATATACACTTGATGAAATTAATTTAGTTATTACAATGCAATTATGAAGCTTATGCAGCAACATGGAAACTGTTAATGGTACAGTGCACTAAGGGAACATAGCAAATAGCATATACACTAGGATTTTAAGTATAAAAAATGCATAGAAGGAAAAAGCTAAAATATATATTGGCATTATCTTTGAGATGGAATTACAGGTCTTCTGTTCCAAATTGGAAGCTATTTTACTTATTTTCTAACTTGTCTATAATATAGGGTTCCATATTAAATATCTATTTGAATGTAAAAATAAGACAAGTCCCTGTAAACAATGAGGTAAGTATTTTTACAAGCCTTCAAACAGTCCTTTATCACTACTTTTGTGTGAGAAAATGTTTTCCCAATTAGTGGGCTGTTTGTTTTTTTGTAATGTCTCTTTGCTGTACAGAAGCTCTTTAACTTGATGTAGTCCCATCTATTATCCTTGCCTTCACTATTGTGGCGTTGGGTGCTCTGTCTTTAAAGATGTCGCTGAAGCGTATGTCCTGTAGTATTTGACCCATCTTTGTTTCCAGGTATTATATGATTTCTGTTCTTCTGTTTAGGTCTTTAATCCACTTTGAGTTAATTTTTGTGACTGGAGTGAGGCAGTGATCTAGTTTCATTTTTTTTTGCATGTAGTTTCCCAGTTTCCCCAGCACCACTTGCTGAACAAATTTTCTTTATTCCATTGTATCTTCTTTG